GTCAGATCTGTACATGGAGGTATCTACATGGTCTGTCTGAGTGTAATCGCTGTAAGGTCTACCAGAAGAAAACACAGGCTTTAATTTACAGCAATTTAACAATTCAAGTGATAGTATAACTGACTGGAGCGTGATAAATAATTGCTTATGCTTCAGACTGAATTTGGTAAGTGTAAATTAAATTGTACGAGCAGTAAGTTTGTCGAAACATGACGTTATTTGTGTAGGCATAGGAAGCCTACTGTATTTTCATAGGTAATTCATAGCATACTGTATTATGTGTATTCATAGAACATAGGCCTATTTAATTAATTGCATATTGTTAATATTTCTCAATAGTGCACGTCGTGTAGATATAATTACAGTTATCATTGTTATTCCTTGTACATATTCGTGTTTCCTGCACTTTATTTATTCATGGAGGAATAAGCAATTTAATTACATTTTGAACAATATATCATTTTCGCAGTAGACCTACATTTGTCTATTCCCATTATTTAAAATAATCTTACGAATTGTAATTTGGTCAATGCTACCACATTCTGTGTCCAGATATAGCATTTTTAACTTGGATGTTTTTTTCTTTGCCCACTCTTTAGCATCATGTACTGGGCATAGTCCTTTATTATCTCTATTTTTATACCATTTTATTTTATACCAGTCATACCAGTAAGAATAAGATACCCTTTAAGAAAATCTTCCTATTAGTATTATATATGGGAGAGTACCTCATGAACATTATTCACACACCCTCAAGACTGCTATGGGGATATATTCATGCCACAAAACTTAGAATATGGAATTCAGTGTACGCTGGGAGCAAATGTTTCAATATAGATAAATTTAGTAAATGTGCGATGTACAGTATATATTGTACTACATATTTTCATAACAATATCTTAGTTATGGTGCCAAAATTTTGCTCAACTTGGCCTAAAACATATGGGGCAGAGGTGAGTATATCTCTAGTCCCACTAACTTTAAATCTTTGTCTGCCAATAGACAGGATGGGAAGGGGTGGTGGCTATACAGGTTTACCAGCTTGTATTGCCAGGCATCCAGATGTACCATCTCTATCGCCGTGTTAATTTTACTTCTTTGAAGGGAGGGGATAGCGCCGCTCTACAAATTGTCAGCATTTATTACCGGGCATTCAGAGTTGCAAAAAAGTTGTTCAACAACTATGATGAGGCTGATAGTGGATGCTCAGCACCCTACTTTTACAACAAAATTTGTTTAGTTCCCCCTTCCCCTTAGTGCCTTGTAATAATTCATTATGGTGTACAGTAATTACAGTGAACAGTATCACCATGGATAAAGTACACATAAACTCATTTTTAAAAATAGTTGCAATTTATTGAAAACAAAGTTAAACCTACGAATAAACTATATGACCACAGATTTTAAGCACAGATAAACTTGATAGTTTAGTAAAGCGGATACATTAGTACAACTATTAAAACAAAAGTCTAGACAAACTTTTTTACTGAAAACCCCTCATCTGTCAGCAATTTGTAAATTATGTCCAACCAAAAAAAGATTTGTTTTTTTCTTCTGGCTGTTATTTTTTAGGCCTACATTTTTAGGTTTTTAAAATTATTTATCTTAACCATTATTTAACTGCCTTTTAATTATAATCCTAATAAATACAACTATTAGTAGTAGTACAGTAAATAATTTCTATAAGCTTTACCGACATATTTTTGAGTTATTTCAAAATTATCCAAAATAATATATCTGACATTGAAGCCTTCAAAGATCCCTCTGTTTTAGTTAGAAGACAACCCCCAAACCTCTTTTCTTCATTATATTCACAAACATCTGGATAACAATATGTTAGGTCAATATTTTTTATTTCTCCAGCGCTTTTAATACTATTTTACCTCATATTTCAATTGATAGATTATTAAGTTTGCCAAAGTTATACAGAGCTTTCTGACGGATAGACCTCAGATGGTTATGTGCAATGATATTTTATCGGACACACAAGTTTTTAATATTGGTGCTTTCAAGGATGTGTTATCTCTCCAATTCTATTTTCATTTTACACTATTAGTTTTAATATTTTAAGTAATAAATGCAATATTGTTAAATACGCTGATGACACTGTAAATAGTGGATTTTTCTGTGATGAAAAGCAGGATGCAAATGAGTATTTTAATAAAGCTGAACGATTTGCAAACTGGTGCGAAACTAATTCTTAGTATTACCAAACCGAAAGAGATGATAATTGATTACCGTAAAACTGCAGCACAACATAATGTATTAAGGATTAAAGAAACAGACTTTGAAACAGTTACTAAATATAAATACTTAGGTATTATAATAGACAAGAGGTTAATGTGGGAAGCTAACTCTCCTATGATTTCAAAGAAGGCATCTCAAAGGCTTTACTTTCTGAGAAAGCTCAAACATCTAAGAGTAGATAGTTCAATTTTAACCCTGTTTTACCAAAGTATTATTTTTTAAGCATTTTAACTTTTGACATCATCTGTTTTTACAGTAAATATAATAATGACAGGGAAAACATTGAGAGGCCAACAACTGAGATTATGCTCGAATAGTCCGCCCTTATCGTCTTGCTACCTCCATTAATTAAGGTCAATGGACACGCATTTTGTGTTTTAATTTGCTGGTCCTCTTTGTACAGTTCTGGAAAATCTATTTCAAATTCGATGCCCTCCTGGAAAAAAGAATCAAAAATAACTATTCAGTTGAAGAATTTTGGCAATGTTAAATTTAGTGAAAAATAAAAGGGTACCTTTAAAAAATGAAATGTAATAACCACTAGCGGCTACACTGTGAGAAAATCCATTTGACGTCCAGCTGCTTAGACGGAATGCTTTCCCACCCAATGCAATCGAATGACAATTGCCATTGGTGCAATTTTATATTACTGTTATCTAAATTCGTTTTCATAGCTGTTACACAAATAGTTCATTGAAACAAATGCACAAAAGTACAACCAGAAATATAATCTATAATATAATATACATTTATGAAGCAATGACGATTTAAATTTTGTCTTTTTATCATATATTTTACAGGTATATCAATATCTATATATAAATATGCAAATATCTAAATATATATGCACATTGTATGCATATTGGTATCATGTTATACACATTAGAAGGAATATTGTAGTAATGTATTATATATATATATATATATATATA